ATAAACACTTAAGTTAAAAAATTATTTGTGTATACATAGTTGGCTTTTATTATATTCATTTAAAGAAAATCAACTTAAACATTTTTTTCGAGGTTTTATATATTTGTTTGAAAGTTAGTTTCAGAGAGGGAGAGGTGAGGTAAGCCACTTCCATTTACTGGTTCTCTCCAAATGACTGTAATGGCTGAAGCTGGGCTAAGTCAAAGTTAGATGCCAGGAACTCCACCTGGGCCTCCATGTAGGTGGTGGGAGTCCAAGCACTTGGGATTTCTTCCAGTACCTTCCCAGACACATTAGAGGGGAGATAGACCGGAAGAAGAGCAGCCAGGATTCCACACATGTCAAGGTGGCTATCGTCAGAAAGAGAGAGAATAACACATGCAAACAAGGATGTGGAGAATGGCAATTCTTGTGCATTGCTACTGAGAATAAAAATTAGTACAGCTGTTATGCAAATTACTATGATGACTGCACAAAAAATAAGATGAAACTACAGTGAGATACAGAAATTCCACAATTGGGTGTTTGCCTAAAATATTTGAAATCAGTAAGTTAAAGAAATTGCCTGGACTCCCACATTTATTGCAGAACTATTCAAAATAGTCAAGATATAGAATCACCATCCTAGCTCTGGTGCAGTAGATGGAGAAAGATTATGATGATCTTAGAGAAGAAATAAATTTTGTCACTTCTGTCAACATGGTTGGAATTGGAGACCGTTATAATAAGTGAAACAAGCTTGACTGTGAAAGACAGATACTGCTTCAAAGATATTAAAGATGTACATGAAAATGTGTACTGGGAAAAATTGTGGAAGGATCTAAATTTTTTTTTCACCAAAATAGACCTATACAAACTTGTTACAATTTGTCTGTATAGGACATAGTTTGAGCACCAAGAGAGATAAGATAACAATTTGAGGACAGTGCTTGACCAAAACAAGAACAGCAGGTAACAAATGGCAAAATTATTAATGCTTTATGAAAAGTTTATAGGACTAATGTCCTAAAGAAAGCATCCCTTTACAAATGGATAACTCATGTTAAGAAGGGATGAGAGGAAACCTGTAGCAACAGACTATCCACATGAATTGCGTGTGTGTGTGTGGGGGGGTGGGTGGGGGGAGTTAGTCTTCAGGCTCCAACTGAAGAGAACTAACAGAGGCAAAAATAACAGCTGATATTATAGAATCTCAATCACTTCAGCTTACATCATTGTGATTGAAATACTAATGTGAGGCAAATTTTCTATCTGTTCCCCCAAAAGATCAGGTGCAGACAAGAACAGAGTTTTCAATGGAAATTGAGACAAAGATTGATTTGTTTATTTGAAAGGGAGGGTGACACAGAGATGGAGAGATGGATTCACTCTTCAGAGGTCTGCAACGGCTGGGGCTGGGTTATGCTGACCCTGGAAGCTTCATTTGCGTTTTCCATGTGGGTTTTAGAGGCCCAAGGATTTGAGCTGTCATCTCCTGATTTCCCAGGCGCATGTTCAGGGAGCTGAAACACCCAGGATTCGAACTGGTACTCTGCTATGGGATACAGGCATTGTGAGCTGTGACACAAAGCTGGCCCCTCACTGAAAGTGTTAAATAAGTGGGATCGAAACCATGCAGCGCATCCTCAGAGAACGGGAGCATGGAACATGGTCCTGAAGACAGAACACAATTAAAGCAGTGGTTTCCAGGAGGTGCAGGCGATCCAGTTAAAGCAAGATAGACCAGTTGGGTAAAGGGCAAGGCATCAACTTCTTGGGGGTGCTTGACGCATAGTAACATTTTCTTATTACAAGAGTGTTCTGAGGAACTCAGCCAAAGCTTTCAGCCGAAAAACAGGTGGGAATTCTTCCTCAGAGGGACCCCTCCCCTGTGACAATACTCACGCTTGCTGCTCTCAGCAAATAAGGAAAAGTTTCCAGGAATTAGAGCTGTTTGGATGGCTTTTTTACAATCTGGATATAGCTCTTTCCAACTTTTTGTTAATCTTAAGCAGTGTTTAGAGGGTGCCTGTTTGTCTTCAGTTGGAAGAAAAGAGATGGCTTTGGTATGATTAAATGCCATGCCTCTCAGTCCCTTAGGGACAGACTCAGTAGTTCATGTCACTCATCATTTGGGAAAGAATACTGAACTGATAGAAATTATGTTAACCAAAAAGTTTATATTTTAAAATATAATTTTCCAAATTTTTTGAAGCCCTTCTATATGTTTCACTTACTTGTATACTATAAAAAAGTTAAAATTAAAAAGTGGGGAATAGGGCCCAGCACTGTGGTCCAGTGGCTAAAGTTCTCTCTTTGAACGCACCAGGATCCCATATGCGCACTGGTTCTAATCCCAGCAGCTCCACTTCCCATCTAGTTCCCTGCTTGTGGCCTTGGAAAACAGTTGAGGATGGCCCAAAACCTTGGGACCCTGTACCCATGTGGGACATTCCTGGCTCCTGGCTTCAGATCAGCACAGCACTGGCTGTTGCAGTCACTTGGGGAGTGAATCATCGGATGGAGGATCTTTCTCTCTACCTCTCCTCCTCTCTGTATATCTGACTTTGCAATAAAAATAAATCTTTTTTTTTTTTTAAAGTGGAGACTATAATGGTGGGTATCAGAGGTTTGGGTTGAGTGGAGTAAGGGTGATGGGAAATAATTGCGTGTGAATGCAAAGTTCAAATAGATATGAAGAATATACTTTTTCTTTGAGGTATATTGCATAGCACAGTGGTTATAATAAATAATGTATTATATTTTCAAATTATTATGTTGAAAAATTTCAAATATTCTCACCAGATAAAGTTAAGCATTTGAAGTAATAAATGCATCAAATAGCTTGATTTGATTATTCCACGTTGTATCCATAAGTCATTATCATCATTTTGTTCCCTCTAAGTACATGCAACATAACTGCAAGTAGATTGGTTTAAAAGGAATGTAAATATTTAAGGGGAGGAGATTTGGAAATGACATTAGAATGAATAAAGAAGCAAATCTTATGGTGCCTTATAAACAAAATGAGAGCCTTCTCTTATTGTAAGTTGGCAAATACGGTTATAGTATGTATTATTATTTATCTAACCAGTGTGCTATGCAGTATACCTCAAAGAAAAGAAACATTCTTTCTGTCTATTTGAACTTTGCTTTCCAGGACCATAATTTCTCATCATCTCTCCCCTTAAATATTTGTATTCTTTCCAAACGAATCTACTTGCTGTTATGTGAACAAAATTCTGCCTTAGGGTCTTCTCGGTAATTTTCTTCCTTTCTCTCAAAATGGTCTTCCTTCAGTCATTACCATGCTCATTGCTTCATTTCCTTCACGTTTTTGCTGAAAAGGTGCTTTCTCTGAGTCGCTTGCCATGATCATCCTATTTGACGTTTCAGCTCTTTCTTCCACATTTCCTCTCTTCTTTTTCTAACTGTGTAGAATATCATCTTAACGCAAGCCTGGTCACTGAGGGCATTCTCCAAGATGTTATATATTTTACTCATTTCAAAAATGTCTCTACTATACTGCAAACTTTATGTGTATAGAGTTGTAAAAATCATTTATTTATTTGAGAGACAGGGGAAGTGAGAGAGGGGGAAAGCAGGCGAGAGGGACACAGAGAAGTGCTTCCGTTTCTCTGATCAATTCTCAAATGCCCTCAGTGACCAGGCTGAGTTAAGGAGATGCTGGGAGCCAGGAGCTTCACCCAGGCCTTCCACACAGCTGGCAGGGACTTCTCCCTCAGCTTAATTTCCTAGGGGTGTGCATTCACAAAAAGTGGGAGTTAAGGGTGCAGCTGGGACTGAAACCTAGGCACTTCCCAATGGGCTGTGGCTATCCCAAGAAGTATCTGCTGTAGCAAACATTTACCCCTGAATGGAGGGTTTTTCTTTTTTTTGTCATAGCATATCTCTAGTGCTTGGAAGAAACACGGTAGATGCTAAATTAATATTTATTCAATTACATAAATAATTTTTATGTGACATTAAGGTATGTGGCATTTGCATTAGGATGGCATTTTCAATGTTTCTCTGCTGTGCAAAACTTTGAATCATCAAGAATCTGAGGGGACAAGAAAATTGTTCTGTTATTCAATGCTCTAGTTCTGTTCCCATTAATCACTTAAATCTGATTCTTTATTCACTTTCTAAAAAAAAGATTATTTATTTATTTATTTATTAGAAAGCCATGGTTACACAGAGAGAGGGAGAGACAGAGAGAGAGAGCTCCCAGCTACTGAGTCACTCCACAGACGGCTCTGACAACTGGGACCTGGCCAAGTCAAAAGTAGGAGCCGGTAGCCAGGGGTACAGAGCCCCATCTGACTTTTCCACATGAGTGGCAGGGGCCCAAAGATTTGGGCTGTGTTCTGGCATCTCATATGAGCACTGGTTTGTGTCCTGGCTGCTCCACTTCTGATCCAGCTTCCTGCTGATGGCCTGGGGAAGCAGGAGAGAATGGATCAAATCTTTGGACTCCTATACCTGTATGTAAGACGCAGAAAGAAGCTCCTGGCTTCAGATTGGCTTAGTTCCAGCCATTGTGGTCATTTGGGAAGTGAACCAGTGGATGGAAGACCTCGCTTTCTCTCTCTCATGTTTCTTTATCTCTGATAAATCAAATAAAAATAAATAAATAAAAATACTCCTTTGCCTTAAGAAATGCCTCAAGTGTACCAATGATGATTCATTTAGGATAAGTGTTCTACTTTTACCTTCTATTTCAAGTTTGTAAATAATCAGAAATAACACAGCATGAAATATCACAAATAAAATGCTCTCAGACTTCATTTACTACAGTCATCCACATCAAAAATGTCACTGCAATTTGAATGTAATAAGACGCAAATTAGGTTTGGTTTTGCCCCGTGAGTTGAGGATCAAAATAATGAGGGCTTCCAACTGAGAATATATCATTTTAAAAGTGTACAATGGATGGGTAATGACAGAAAGTCAAACCTTTCCTATCTGATCTTCATCTGGACGATGGTGTACTTGGTCTCACAAGGATTCCTTTGTGCTCATTGTATCCTTAGGACTTTCTTCAATGCAGCCTTCATATCCTTATTTCGTAGGCTGTAAATCAGGGGGTTTAAGAAAGGAGTCACCACAGAATAAACCAAAGTCATAATCTTCTGAATTTCAGCTGGGTTTTCAGCAGTGGGACTCACATACATCACCAGGAGGGCCCCAAAGAACAGACACACCACTGTCAGATGTGACCCGCAGGTGGAAAAGGCCTTCTGCCTTCCAGTTGCTGAAGGGACTTTTAACACAGCTATCAGTAAAAGGGTATAGGATCCAAGGATGTAGAGAAGAGTGAGAATGATGATGAGGGAACTCAGAATATAGAAGACCATCTCAGTAACAGGAGCTGGGGCACAGGACAGAGCCATTAGCGGGTCTAAGTCACACAAGAAGTGATTGATGATGTTGGGCCCACAGAAAGGCAACTGAGAGAGTTGCACAGCAGAGCCTAAGTAACTAAGAAACCCAAACACCCAGCAAGTGGACACTAAGATATAACAGAGTCGGGGGGTCATGATGGCTGGGTAATGCAATGGGCGACAGATGGCGAGGTACCGATCGTAGGCCATAATGCAGAGGAAATATGCTTCGGTTGTCCCAAGGGAGGTGAAAAAATAGAACTGGAGGAAACAGCCAACAGAGGAGATTGTTTTTGCTTCTGAGAGGAAGTTGACTAACATTCCGGGTACAGTAGAGGTGATATACCAGATTTCAAGGAAAGCAAAGTTCCCCAGGAGAATATACATTGGGGTGTGGAGCTGCTTGTCCAACACCACAGCACAGACGATGGCCCCGTTTCCCATCGTGGTGAACATGTAGACTCCAAAGAACAATGAGAAGAAGAAGCGTTGCATCTCTTTGCAACCAGGGAACCCGAGGAGGACAAAGTGGGTCACAGTTCTTATCTCTGATCTGTTCATCAATCCCAAGCTGCAGAGAAGACAGGACACCATTACACAAGTTGTTTTCTTTCCTGAAAAGCTTGGAGGAAACTATTCAAGGTACTTCTGTTTCTGGCTTGGCAATTAGTTTGCAATACACCACTCTTTGACTTCTGGCTCTTATTTGAAAACCTCTAACTCATCAGTCATATGATCTCAAATTTCAATAAAATTAGGTTCCTAACAATAAAATTTTTACCTTACTTGGATTTTATCAGTGGATTAGACTTTAAAAGTTTTCTTCTTTTCATTTTGAAATTTTGAAAGCTTGCAACTCTTAGCCTCTATGAATCATAAGCCAAGTGATTATCAGTTTTCATTCCTTTTTCCTGCCTATAATTAATTACTCCTAATAGAAATTTTTTGTTTAAATTTGAACTCAGAGTTAGGAGAAAAATAACTGCATTTGTGGGACATTTTTGGCCAGGTGAAAAGTACTTGACATACTTCTGGGATATTCTAGAACTGTGAATATCTGCTTTGCATTTTGAGTTTTTAAAATTATTTTATAACACAAGTTAATAGGCATTGGGGTTTCCTCTGCCTTCCCCCCGCCCCATTGTTCTCTTCTCCAGTCTTACATAGCAGTCTTCCGAGCGCCCTCAGTCCGTCATATTGCCAATGAGGTGTCTCCCAACAATGCAGGGGTTTAGCTGTCATTTTGTTGTGAGATCATCCTTGCAAGTATGGGCATATACTTCTCCCTGCATTTTGAGTTATTTACATCATAATTTTTTCATAACATATTAGTGATTTATAAATATCACTATGGAAACCAAGAGGAAAGGTCAAGTAATTTTTTTTCTGGAGAATTGGGAATTAAAAATCACCTCATAGTTGTTTTTGAATTAAATGTATTTCATCCTTAAATACAAATATATAAAGTTAGCAATTGAAAAAGGACGTTGAGCTACCTGTGATGTGCAGAAACATGTAACAGGAGTAAGTAGAGAGTCATTGCTGGAAGTGAGGATTAAGTACAACATCAATTTTCTAGAATTATTTAATGTACCACATTTCTGAACCATGTCATGTTCCTTTATGGATCAGTAGGCAAAAAGTTCAAAGGCATCATTAAACTGAGGGAGATCTGATAAACCGGGCACTAGAGTGAACACTTACAACACAATATTTCGTCATGATACTGCAGTTATTGAGGATGAGCTTGTGTGCAAAAACCCACAAAAGCTTGCAAAAACATGTCAATATTATTAAAGGATTCCATCGGAATTGGCATCATCCAATATATCTAAGGAAAAAAAAGTCAAATGAAACCCAGTCAGAGAGAATAGTTACTTTTCCTTCATGGCAGGGCTAAGTGTAGACAGAGTCTTAAGTGATGTTTCTCTTTATGTCTTTATGTGGCATTAAATATTGGGGGGCTGACGCTGGCTGACCCTGATGTCCTTCTTCCTTTCCTCAAGTGCTCTAGAGAAACAGAAAGCAACAGGGCATTGCTTTGGGCAGTAGTGCAGCCAGTGGGAAGCAACACAACCCTTTGAGGTTGGCTTCAAATGGGAGGTGGGCACTTTCATCAAAAGCTATACAGACGTTCCTGACTCAGAGCGTTTATCTTAACGACTTTGGACTTTACAAAGGTGTGAAAGCAATACTCACTCAGTAGAATCTGTTCTTCAAATTTTTGAACTTTGTTCTTTTCCCAGGCTAGCAGTATGTGATACACAGTTTCTCAGGGTGCTGGGTGGCAGTAGCAAATTTCCACTTCCAGTCAGTCATGCTTTTACTAGCAAGCACTAAACAACTGATATTCTGTAGCATTCTGCGTTGCTGAACTATGATGGTTGGCAGCTTAAGACTATGAAATGCATTTTCAACTTCAGGACTTGGTGGTGATTTAAGGAACGTCTGAGTAAAAGAACTTGCTTACCTCCAGGCATCCGTTTATTCCCTTGTTTTGTCCATGAGAGAAAAGTTCGGTGGGTGAGTTTTATATATTAGTTGCTTTTCTGTGGAGTAGCTAAAACCAGGGAAATATCAACCTCATGAGAAAATTTCAGAAAGGGGGTACTGAGGAAGGGAATGTCACGGAGACTCTCATGGGTGCAATTAAAGTTTTGTCAGTCTCCTGTGAGCATGTTGGCGACTCCCCCAAGAATCCTTGCTATGTCATCCTTTATTTCACCCATAATTTATTATACAGTTCAAGTTAAATTGGATCCCAGAGCACAAGCAGGCAGGATGTCTGAAAAGGCAAAAGTGAGATGTGTACAGATTTCCAGATTCTTTTTGACGGTGAAATACAGAGTGTTCACAATAGACACTGTTAATACTCTCTTTACATACTTGAGATCTATAAATTTTGCTTCTGATCTGTATTGCTAGATTACTTGCTTTGTTCCTTTATTCCTTCCTTCTTATTTCAGATTATTCCAGTACTTTTAAGCTTCATTTTTCCTTTCATGTTTTATGGTGGATTTATTTATTTTTAATAAACTCTCCTTTTTTCCAAGTTTTTTTTTTTTCCCAATGATACAGTTCCATAGGCTCTGGTATTTCTCTTCCTTCCTTCCCCAAATCCCTCCTCCTACTGATTTCCCCTATAGTGGTACAATAGTAGAGTCCTTCCTAAATAGCTGTAAGTCCACCATTCTGCTATTTTAAGTATATCCTGACATTTCAGGTATGGACAAAGGCAAAGAACCCAGCATCTTATTGTCAAGAAATACTTAACAGTTTCATTGGGAGTCCATCATTAATTTGAAAGTAGAGATGCATGCTGCATTGTATCTTCACATCTGGATAGGATAGTCTGTGTCACACAGTTACTATACATCCCCTTAAATGAAAAGCCATAATTTTACTTAGCTTTTCTCTTTTGCTTTTCTTTGGTAGTCTGGCTAAAAGCTTGTTTTGCTCATTTTAAAAAAATGGGTCTTTCTTGTTGCAAATTGTAGGGTTTTTTTTAGCTTCAATTCCTTTCATTTTTGCTGTGATTTTTATCATTTTCTTGCCTCCTGTTCATTTTTCTTTTTTAGTAAATACTCAAGATGCATTATTAGAGCATATTCAAAATAGTTCTATTTTTTCTAAGCACCTGTCATTTTGAATATGCTCTAATAATGCATCTTGACTGCTTTCCCAGGCTGCAAGCAGGGAGCTGGATTGGAAGCGGGGCTGCCAGGACACAAACCAGTGCCCCTTAGGGCTTCTTCCTTTGTTTCTCCCCTGACCTCAGATACAGGAAAAAAAAAATGATGCTGTTAGTGTAGAAACAATGATTTTACCCACTTTTCTGTAGTCCTTGACCCTTTGTGCTCTAATCAGCTAAGTAAGATTATAAACAAAAAAGAATAAAAATTATCTGTTTTGGTTGAAAAAATTAATTAAAAAACTTTAAGTGTTGCCACAAAATTACAGACTTTGGTAACCAAAGATTCAGATAAAAGTAAAAAGTGAGAATTAATTATTCCAGTTGAAACTAAGAGAGCAAGAATTTTCATCTCCTTTTGCTTAGGGAATTTACTTCAGAAAATGTATCATTAAATTCTTTCTCTGGGGCCTGGTGGCGTGGCCTAGTGGCAAAAGTCCTCATCTTGAACGCACCAGGATCCCATATGGGTGCCGGTTCTGGTCCCAGCAGCTCCACTTCCCATCCAGCTCCCTGCTTGTGCCCTGGGAAAGCAGTCAAAGACAGCCCAAAGCTTTGGGACCCTGCACTCGCATGGGAGACCTGTAGGAAGCTCCTGGTTTCTGGCTTTGGGTTGGCATAACACTGGCCGTTGCGCTCACTTGGGGAATGAATAATTGGGCGGAAGATCTTCCTCTCTGTCTCTCCTCCTCTCTGTATATCTGCCTTTCCAATAAAAATAAAATAAATCTTAAAAAAATTCTTTCTTTGCTTTCAGAGTTATATGTAATTCTTTGAAGGCTAAATAAGCCTGCGGCAGAGTTCATAACCCAAGGACCTGAAGTCATCCTTTTGCAATGTTATTATAAGAGAGATATTCTTCCATCTCCCAATTTCTGTGGAAGGATAGAAGCCTAACTTTGGCAGTCTACATACAAAGTTGTAAAATAATTTTCTGTCTTAAGAGTTTATTCTTCTTTTCTACAAAGTCAGTTAATAAAATGAGATGACCACCCAATTCTCAAATGAATTTAGGGTTGCCTGGGTATTAAGCCCTCTTAGGACTTCTTGTTACTTATCTTGAGAACAGATGTGATATGGGTTGTGTTTGCTTTGCTGTATAAAAGGATGAGATTTTTTTTCCTATTGTAACAGTCCCAGGCACATTGTCTGTAAGGTACCTCACATTCTGAATAATGCTTGTAAATAAGTAGTTTCTTTTTCCTTTCATCTTTGCATATAAGTTTTATGAATTTTTAGAAAAGATTTGTTTTTAAATATGTTTTCACCCCAAATTCAAGTTTTTAAAATCTACGTCTCTGTCTTTAATAAGGTTAGGGAGATAGAGTATACCTTGGAAATCAATTACAATCCCCTAATGCTGTAGCACACAAAGTTCCAAAGTTCCAAAGGAATATGAATAATTTCTGAGTGACATGTTAGGTTTTTGAGAAAATTAAAAAAACGGTTTGTCTCTTAGAATCTTTTGACTATATCTTAATCTTATATTGCTAGTATTTTTCTCATTGCTTGTTTCATGTCTTTGTTCCTCAGACTGTATATTACAGGGTTAATGAGGGGAGTGACCACAGAATAGAAGAGAGTCACAACCTTCTGCATTCCAGCTTCATGCTCAGATGTTGGGCTCACATACATGACCATCACCGAGCCATAGAAAAGAGACACCACAGCCAGATGGGACCCACAGGTGGAGAAAGCCTTTTTTCTTCCAGCTGCTGAAGGAACCATGAGCACAGCTCTGAGAACCAGCACATAGGATCCCATGATGAAGAGAAAAGGAACAAATAAAAGTAGGGAACTTAAGGTAGAGCTAGTCAATTCGATCACAGGGTCTCTGGTACAGGTAAGAGTTAACAGAGGACCTGGGTCACATAGG